AACTCTACATGAAAGGCTGGGTGTATAGTTTGAAACCAAATGATGATTCATTCAGTACTCTAATTTGTGGCTTGTGCAAGACTGAAAAGTTGGATAAGGCTTTAGTTCTTCTGAACGATATAATGTGAGAAGCTAGCAAATTTGACAGAATGTTTTGTTGTAATCTTTATTTGAGTTTCAATAGCATTCTATAACAGGAAAAGCCAATATTTAATATGTACATTTGACAAGTTAACATATTCAGTTGCATGTTATCAAGTTCTATTTGAATAAACTTGTACATATTCACATGACAGCCACAATACATTTCATATACAATTGTGTTAACTTTCATAATAATATGTTAACTTTCTTTAAAAATTATGTTAACTTTCATCATTACATGTTAACTTTCAGCTGAACATGTTAACTTTCATCATAATATGTTAACTTTTATTGTTACATGTTAATTTTCATAATAATATGTTAACTTTCTTCATAACAAGTTTTTTTGAACTAAAATTCGATGTGTTTGAAAGTTTCTACATAATAATATGTTAACTTTTATAATAAGATATTAAATTTTATTTCAAAGTTAAAATTAAAGTTTCTTCATATCCAAGATTTTTTCTGAAATATGCTCCACCGTACGAAATGTAATTAAAATTAAATTTTAATCCATAGTTAAAATTAAAATTAAAATTGAAGTTAACATTTCAGTTAAAAGTTAACATGTTCAGTTGAAAGTTAACATCTTATGATGAACGCTAACATGTTCAGTTAAAAGTTAATATGTTATGAAGAAAGTTAACATATTATGGTGAAAGTTAACATGTAATAGTGAAGGTTAACATATTATGATGAAGGTAAACATGTTCAGCTGACAATTAGCATGTTATGAAGAAGGTTAACATATTATTATAAACGTTAACATGTAACAATGAAAGTTAACATGTTATGATGAACGTTAACATGTTCAGCTGAAAAGTTAACATGTTTTGAGATTTAATAGTGTATCGTAATTTAAAGATTATGTACATAATATGTATATACTATGTACACAATAACCTTAAGATTATGTACATATTATGTATCATAATATTCATGTTTTGATACACATAATTTATATACAATCTTCAGTTTATTATGCACATCAAGTTCTATTTGAATGAACTTGTACATATTCACATGATAGCCACAATACATTTCACATACAATCGCAATAAATTACACCAAAATTGATCACTAAATAGACACAATACACATTTCACATACAATCGCAATAAATTACACCAAAATTGATCACTAAATAGACACAATACATTTTATTAATTTTTGATCTAAGTACAACCAAACCATAAGAACACATTGTATAATCAACTGAACAATGAAACATGACACGTTACAAGCAATTCTGGAGAATCTACACAAGTATAAAGAGTACACATAGTAAAACCAACTAAACAATGAACATATGCCTGAATAGTCTTTTGCATTCTATTTGCTCTAGATGCATTGGTTCTGATTGCAGCAGCAACAATCTTTACGCATGTTCCCCAACCAATGACCAACATTGTGTCATCCTATGTGCATACATCCTTGTTAGCATCTAATGCAGAAAATAACAATCTACTTAGAGTATCAACTTTAGCTTCAAATCTAAGATGTCTGAAAGGACTCTTTGCATTAAAGTGTCAACTTTAGCTTCAAATCTAAGATGGTTTCAGTTTTAACTTCACATGATGCTTTCCTTTTGTAGTTTGTTATATGTTTTGCTTTATATTACAACATATCTTACAACTATTGGAATTCATGAAAATTTTCACAGACAATATATTGAACTTAAAATGTTATAGAAATATAGTTAACATCCTGAAACTTTTATTTTCAGAAAGAACAGGTTGATAAAAATTTGAAGGAAAGAAACACCTATGAAAATCATGGTTCCCCAGATAGCTAGACAACCATTTGCAAAGAAATCAAACTTTCTGATAACTAGATTTGACAACTTTTTTCAAAGAATAACAAACTGTTAATCCAACAAATTACAGAGTGAAGCGACAAATTAAAAGAAATGAGCAAGCAATCAAATACAGATAAGCAGGAAAAGAGTTATAGATTGTTCTAATAAAACAAGAAGTAAACAGTTTCTTTCCTTTTTGCTCCTTTTTCTTGTCTTCTATTTTTTCCCCCCTGACAAATCATAATACTAATTCAAGCATAGCTATATTCAACCTATATATATGAGCCTAAAGTAATAATTCAAGAAATAGAAGTTTGCCAATTACACATCAAACACAAGCAATAAAAGATTAAAAAAACTAGAGAAATCTCACCTTGGGGCCATTGATCCAATATGATCTGCTTCAAAGATCCAACTGAAGTTGAAGGATCATATTTGCTAGGCCCTATATCAGTACCATCAAAAAGCATAAATTTTAGTTCAATCATCATCATCTCCTGCCATATTGACCTCAATCTCTCATCAGCCCCGCCCTCAAACTCAATTTGAATTTCCACCAAATCCGTAACTTTCTAACAGATTCAATAACTACACACAAAACCAATCAAAACCCACAAAAAAAATCTCCTAATCTCCAAAAAAATTTACAAACCCATCTCAAGCAGAGGTATTTAACCCAGATAGAATTTCTCGATCCCAGTCCAAGAAATAGATCCAAAAACTCGATTAGATGACCAAAGGTGATGGAGTCAGCGATGACATGCCGGATGAAGAGGCACATGAGGTCCCGGCTGCGAGTGAGGTTGGCGTTGGGTATGGTCGAAGTAGAGGGCGGCGGTAGAGGACCACCACGGGAGGGGGGAGGGGAGGAGGGGGAGGAGATTGAGAGGAGGAAGAGAAACCATAGAAGAGAAGAAGAAGAAGAAGATAAGGGAAGGGGTATTTTCGGGTTTTTTGGGGATGATTTTCTGGGAGAGTGTGAAAAGGGGGCTGCACAAATTGTTTTTGATTTTTAGGGTTAAAGAGTAAGGGAAAAAATATGGAGGGCTAGGGCACATCCCCTTTAATTTTTGGGGGCCTAAATACATTTTTCCCTTGTTTTTATCAATTATATTATTATAGTTGTATGTTTAATTTATGTGATGTCGAAGTTGTCATATATGGAAATGAATGTTAGCTTGGATGATTCTTTTGTATGGTTTGTGGTTAGACTTCAGTGTATATATGGTCGACGTGACCATGATCCTTGTATATCTTTATTTTCTTCGTGCTCATGTGTTTTTGTCTTATTGGATTTGAATTTTTCATAGAAACAACCTTTAAAATAAGATGATTAAACAATAGGCTTCTTTAGGTTTGAATTTATTTAGAACTTATTTTTAAAGGAGTTTTGATTGCAGTCAATCATCTTTATCTTTTTTTTTTAATGATGAAAATTTTCTGCCCGGAACGTTGTTTTCTAAGGGTATTTTCAAAGTTTTAGTCAATATTTCATTAGAAAATTGTTGATGGAATGGGAAATCTCTAATTAAAATGTCTTTTGTATATATAAATTGAACTTTAAATGTTATTTTATATATTCACTCAATTATAGAGATAGTCTACATGAAAACACCGCATTGGATATTTACTTTTGAAGGATATATATACTAATCGAAATAGCCTTTTGCACTCTAAGCACGAAGGAGTTACTCGTGCAGGAAAAGGCACGTGCGAAGTTGCACGCGTCTTCGTATTAAAAGCTCCTCCCATCTCTTTCTCTCAAAAGGAGATGCTCACACTTGTGAGAGAGAGGAGCTTAGAAACTGCAACCCGAGTTATTACAAGAGCAATGGGGGAGGTGTATTTTCTGTCCTCGTTCTGCAATTTTTCTAATTTCTGTTTAATTTTGCAGAAGAGTTTACGAGCTGTGGATCCATGTTGACTTTTTTTTTATATATGTTTTTTTTTTGTTTGGCTCCTTTATTTTTCTTTTTCCTGTTTTTCTCACCGAGAGCTCATTTTCTGGTATAACAGAACTAGTTTGCTGTCCGCGCAAAGCACGATATTTTTTTTGTTACAGTAATCCCATTTTTTTAATATGGCATGATTTGAATTTTTGAAAGTGCTACAGTATCCCGCTCTGCTACAGTACATTTTAGATGCTACAGTATGCCCGTTTGCTACAGCAATATTTTTAATTAGCTATTAGCTACAGTAATAATATTATAGTAAATGTTACTGTAGTATTTACTGTAGCGTGAACAGTGAATCTCTGATCCTCCTATTCGTATAAAAGAATAGATACCTCCGCTTTGAAATGTGGCCTTTTTTGCAGCTTATATAACTTAATGACACTGTTCTAGTACTATTAGGAGGGGAAAACTCCAAGATGCTCTTATTAATTTCCCTTTTATCTAAGGGCTTTTATGAACTTTCCATGAATTTCGAGCTCTTCTTTCTATTGCAGGAAGTGAAGAAACCAGAAGAGGAGAAAAAAAGCAGAGGACGAGAAGCCAAAGGCAGCAGAAGAAGCCAACAAAGACTCCGGCGTTGCCCCGCAGGCGGAGGACGTCGGCGCCGCCACCCCCCCGCCTCCAGACGCGAGACTCGAGATGCGTCTTCTCGCCCAT